CCTGCATTACCCCCCAACCATCCCCGGCCAGCCAGCACAGATACAGTAAGCCCCTAAGCACACTGCTAGCGCCGCGCGACCGCGCGTGGAACTGCGGCCGAAGATATGTTCGAGTTATCCGCGGCCATCCTCGTTACAGCGACACGAAAACACGCTTACGTTTCACCGCGAGGAGGCCTCTGCGGCAGCGTGTGCGCCGGCACTCGCCACGCCACCCGACGACGGGGCGCAAGACGCAAAGGGGCCGGGGGAGGGGCGGGGTGGGGTATGGCATGGCTTCTGCCTTGGCTTCGCCTCCATGTTCACAATATGTCGGGACTCGACGCGGCTGACTGGGGTGGTGTGCCGTTGTGCCGTGCGCAGGTGCTGCCGTGCTTCATCCGGTTCGGGCTGTCGCAGCCGGCCTGCAGCGCGGGGTCGGCGCCGACCCAGACCTCGGTGGCCCCCTACCGCGCGGACCATCCGGCCGCGGCTTGCAACGGCGGCGGCGCACCACCCAGGACGGCGACAGCCAGGTCCGAGGCCAGGGCCGCGGTCAACTCCGGCCACGGCCCCGAGGCCCACGACGCACTGCTGCCCGCCGCACCGCGGGGACGCCGCAGCGACGACAGGGGCGGCCAGCAATCTCAAGGGAACGCCCTGGGGAACGCCCCGGGGAACACCAACGCGCAGAACCAGGTGGGTCCTGCAAAGCCAAGTGAGAGCGGGAGGGTGGTGTGGAAGTGGGGAGTGCCCGTGCGTTTCTGTGGTCCGAGTGAATGTTGTCGTGGGCGATTTCTCACAGTCTTGCTACAGTTATGCTTCTGTCCCTTCCCCGTGTCCAGCTCTCCCAGACTGTTTCGCTAGAGTACCCTTTCGCTACAACTGGTACAGTCTGCTGCACCCTCGGCGCGGGTGGCCCGCCCCTGTTTCCCTCCCCAAGATTGTTCTCCACCAGCCCACCGGCTTTATATGACAGGCATGTCATTCGGCAACAACTCCCTCCGCGCTCACTCCTGACAGAGCAGAAAAAGTGAAGTCAAAGTCGGAACTGGGTCACGAGCCGAACGCATAAATAGGGGCCCGTTGTATCAAAATACCATAAATCAGAACCCCCTCCCCCTCCCTCCGGCTGAAGTAGGCCGTCATCAAGACAGTTGTGGGACAAGTGGTCGTGGCAGCGTGGACAGGGCGAGGTGAATGACTCTGCTTTTCCTCTCTAGCTGCGCGGCAAGCGGAAGGATGCCTCCGCCTCCTCGCCGACCACCGAGGCAGTGTCGTGGACGGATGGGCGCGGGAATCTCGGAGACCTCGTCACCGCCACCTACTCCACCGAGGATGGCTCCGTGGAGGTGCACCTGCCCCTGGAGGCGGTCGCCACGTCCCCCGCCCCTTGCACCGCCCCCGACCCCGCCGTCGCGCCCCCAGAGAGACCCCTCGTCAGCATTTCGCCCGAGAACTCCCCGCTGAACCACGGGTCTGCCGGGACCGCGCCGGCCAGGGTGATGTCCGGCACGGGGCTCAACAGCACGGGGAACGGGACCTCTGGCGTGCCGGTGGCGCCGGTGGACGGAACTGCCGCCCATGGCCCGCTGCTGCTACTAACGGCCGGCACGGCCGGCCAGGGCAACACCACGGTGGCGTAGGCACCGCACAAGTACAAATACAAACGTGATCACCAGTGATCACGTATCTATTTTTCCTGCTCATTCATTTTGCTGTGTCTGTGAGATAGCAACAGGAAAATGCTGGAAAATTAAAGAACTTTTTGCTAGTTACATAGTACTTCCGATAGTATCTTAGCTTTAAAATGTGTGTAAATGAGAACATTAATGTTTATTACCAGATTTATCCCCCTCAACCCTTGTCATATGATGAGAGTTTGCTTCGTGGTTCTTATGTGGTTGTGCTCAAGTGTTGTTTGTATAATGCTAAACCGTGTGGAGTGTCAAACAAATAATGTATATTTTACTAGCAGCTCCAGTCTGACTTTGGTTGTGTTCTGAACTGTGCCCCATACCAACCAAAATCAGCTTGGACTTGTTAATAAGACTTATTTATCTGTAATTGAGTTAGCTGGTAGCTTACAAACCAACTCAGATGAAATAACAGTGAGCAAGCATGTTAAATAACTTGCTACAAGCTGCATTAGTAAATCAAACACTCATAGCATAAGCATTCAATTAGGATAGTGTCTATTAAAGGTATTAAAAATCTTTAAATTCAAATGTGATTTTTAAAAGTAATTTGAATAAGCATAGAGGAAGTATTTTGTCACAAAGGAATTTTTGGCTTTCTCTTGATTTGGTAGCTTGGTCAAACCACTTAAAGATGTGTGGACAGCTAGATTATTATTGTCATTTATAATAGAGTGAATCTCTAAAATAGTTGTTTTGTACACAAGTTGAAACATGTATTACAAATAACACTGCGGTTTAAGCTATGCATTTTTTGTGAATACAACTGTTAATTTATTGCACAAAGCACAATGTATGAGTTTTGTAAGAAAAATAAAAAAATAAAATTGAGGATTTAATACAAAACTGGTGAAAATAGTATTAAAATAACAAGATGAGACCAGGCACAGTACACACAGAAGTTTGAGTTCATGGAAAGCAAATTCCAAAAACCCCATTAAATTACAGAATTACAAAAAAACTGATGCCCAATCTTTATAACTACAATGCATAAAACTTTTTCTCCTCTAACTTTAAAACAGTAAGATTCCACAAGAGGTAGACAAAGGTCAATTAGAGACAGCTGAAGCAGCTCTACTCCAGACACGCTTGCAGCCTTCACGTCTAAAGTCAATACCGCCTGAGATAACATTTACATATTTTTCTGTTTTATGATCCTCTTGCAAACCTTTCATTTGCAGTGCTGCTCTAATGCAATTTTTCAAATCCTCTTCAGTGAGTGACTTGAAATAAATATGAAGCGATTTTAAACCATGATTTTTGAACTCTGAGTAGACAGCACTTCCTTTAGCTTTCAAAGTTTCTGGAGTCGGGTCATCAGCACCCAGAGCAACGTCATCCTTCCATACCTAGTAAAGAAAATACTACAAATTGAAACAAACAATAAAATGGGTCAAAAAGGGGGTAACATATTACCTATTGTTTTCTCTTACCTGGATATTGAAGATCAGCACTACTATTACAGGTTTCTTGTGCCAGAGAGCCTCATTTAAAAACTTTTTAACCCAGTTTACGGAATCATTAATAGAATTAGGACTTAGGCTATCAAGAACAATAAAGTTATATCCACTTCCACTACACTTCTGAATGATATGTTTTTGTGGTGGTAAAGGGGGGAGTACTAGTTCTGATACTCCTGGAGAAGGAAAATTACTTGCTATCATTGATGATGTGAGTGATTTCCCAACACCACTTGGACCTGTTATCAGGATGACAGGCATTTCTTTATTCTTCTCAAAGTCCTGTGGATAAATAGAAAAACAATCATAAGAAAATATATTAAAGGGTATGCAAAAGAGAGACGCACTATCAAATTGAAAAAAATTGTGCCTTATTGATGGTGTTTTCCAAAATGTTGAGAAGAGATGAAATAGCCTCATGTTGACCAAATACTTTTGTATTCAAAACTTTTTGTAAATCATTTGCATTCCAGGTGACTTTTGAACTTCCTTCTCTAAAAATATGAAAACTAATACCTAGGAGTATTATCACAGGGATCAAAGATATAATGCAAATGTATTTCCAATGAAGTTTCTGTACGTTCTGAAACAGTAAATTTATAACAATAAATTTTCAAAAGGGCCAAACTATAGGGGTGCAGCCATGAAATTTTAAACAAACTGACATTATTCTACTACCTGTTTATTTTGAGTTCTCTTCCCCACATGCCTTTCTTCTATCGGAACTTTCTGGTCAACAATTGAATCTACTTTTACCCGTTTAGTTGGTGGGAAATTCTTTGACCGAGATCGCAAGCAACTTGACATTTTGTTTGTCAAATCATCTCTGTTTGATTGTGTAGTTGTAGGTGACTGGCAGGAAATCTCCTCAGGAGCCAATAGCATTTTTTTTTCTTGTCCACTCTGAAGCAATGTGTTTAGTGAAAATGAGAAGCCCTTGCGGTGGTAAGAAGATATCGATGTCCCTTTGTCATTGCTGTACGTGCTAACTGACAGCTCTTTCATTGAAACGTTCCCTTAAAAACACAAAATAGAGCTTTAGAAATGAAGGAATCAATAACTGCGATGAAAGTGTAGATTCATTCTGTACCTCGCTTAGGACTAACAATCTCACGAACTGTAAATTGACGAAATATGAATGGTTCTGGTGATGAAGATACGGAGGCCACATCATGAGATATGGCCGACACAGCACCATCTCGTTTCTGCGACATCTATGAACAATAATAAATATGTTTCATTCATACATGTTAAAGTTTCATGACCACAAAACATATGCTGAGAGTTAGCATCCACTAATAGCATCCTAATGGAAGTGAAACTGAAAAATATTGAATGTCATGTGCATCGGACGTCAATGACAAGATTGAAAAAAACTAAGAAATCATTTTTTTTTTACCAAGTTACGTTGATACTCAACGTTGACAACGATCCTTCAAACCCATCAAACCTAATGGTTGATGGTTTTTCACAGGTTAACAGGGTCATGGCATTCGGTGAACTAGAAACAATTCGCAAAGGATCGAGGGAACAACGATGGACGATGAACCACTATTGAACAAATTACTGACAATTCTCACCATGGACAATTTGACGACAAGCCTTCTGCTTATCGGGCCGGTCCGACTCAAGAAAAAAGAGCAAAATATGTCAGAAATCAAAATTTTGCGGCATGTACGTAAAGATGACAAATTCAGCAGACCAAAGTCAAATTTGTTGTGCCAGTGACGAGAGTGACGTCATCAACATCATGAAGGATCATGAAGGATAACTTCTGTGATCTTTCTGAAAACAAAATAAAATAACATTAAGTTTTCTCATAATTTTTCTATTTTTAAAATGTATGCTTAATTTTCGATGTGTGCAGAATGTTTTTCCCCCATAAAAGAATCAACACCCTACCACCCTACCCCAGCCTCTGCCCTGTGTCTCACACTCGCACCGGTCGGTCGACCAACCATTTGACTTGACACTTAAGGAACAAAATAGTTCTATTTGATGGTTAAATGGAAAATAACAGCTGTTTCACCGATCAGTTGTAATTTTTGATCCGAAATATGGTATGTACGAGTAATTTCTGGAACTTTCTCCTGTCGACCCCCATTTTCCCGTTTGCGTTCTATTTTTTAAAATTTTTCAAATCTTCCCGTCAGTCTTTAGACGTCAACACAAACATAACGGAATGTGTCAAATATTTTGAAAGTTTTTTTTCTAGTGCCTGAGTTATTTACATTACGGCATGTTCCATAGCGATCCCCACACTTAAAATTGAAGCTAGGAATTAATGATTTGTGTCCTCTTGTCAGATATTAGTGTAGTTTAGCCGGTGGTGTGTCTATGGCGTCACCGCGAGGTTATGTTTTCGTCAAGTTCTGTTCCTATTTCTTTAGTTTACTTCACTAATTTTTTTTCTTGTATATTACCTCACCACAAATCTATCCCAATAAATCTTGCACCCTATGGCCTCTATTTTGTGTCTGTGATCTGCTATCCCAAATGCTTTCTATGTTTTCCTATGCCCTGAAACTTAAATCTGCACTTTAATTTTTTTTTTTTTTTTGGTGAAGCTATGTGGAGCTCCAAGTTAGCAGCACCACCTACAGGCTCTTCAGCTCGGGCTGAAATTAATTCCAAACAGGCTGCCTCATCCCCCCAAACACACCCGATACCAGTTTTGGATGATGGCACATTAGAATTGGATTTAAGTAGGCACAATTATGCTGAGCGGATTGCTCCAGCTCCACTTCAGTTTAGTGGTTTTCCCCAATCAATGGACCAGAAAGTTGACATACATTCAAGAAATGAAACTGTACGGGTTTATGTTAGTCAGCAAGGTCACACTGTCAAACTAGCCCACTTGCAAGCTCCACCATCATCTTACCCTGTCTTGTCAAGAGGTAACTCCTTTGATAAAATTTTGCCTCATCTTTAATTATGTTTAATCTTTTTTCTTATGAGATTTTCTTGTATGTCTTGTTGCAGTTTCTAAAGGACTTGTGAATAGTGATGAAAGAAAACATGCAAAGAGTATGCCTGTGAATACAACTACAACCTTTCATCAAAGACCAAGGAAGACCGCTATGAACAACATCCAGCCTGTGGCAAATGAGCTGGAAAAGTTTCAACCAATTGCAGATTCAGAACAATGCAGCACAAAGAGTGCAGATTTAGGATCTGAAATCAAAGCTAAGTCATGCAAGATGAATGTGGCAAAATGTAGACCTCTTAAATTGATACCACAGACTCAGCAAAAGAACCACCTAAATTCTATAGATAATCCGGACCTGACTGTTTCTGAGGGGCACAACAAAGGCTGCAAACACACTGAAAGCTTGAATCAAACTTCTGGTGTTAAAGAAGAACTGAATAGTGGCCTGAAAAAAATAATGTCAGATTTAGCAGCCTTAGATCTTCCAGCATTAAGTCATAATCCCTTTCAAACACAGAGTGATAAGGTGAATCCGAAGCAAATTCTGCCCGTAGAGAGGAACTTCATGGATAGTGATCATTGTAAAGAAAATGACTCTCCTTTCAAACTTACTCAAGCTGGTCAAAATGAAACCAATGACTATGAACTGAAAAAAGAAACATGGTCTGCAAAAGCATTACCATCATTTAGAAATAGCAAAGGACTCAACAATATGAAGACCAGCAAGTTTGATTCTATGAGAAGCAGCTCTTCAAGTTTAAATAGTGGACTAAAAGCATCATCCAGAGTTGAGTCAAATGATGATAAGGCTTGCAAACACCATGAGAAACGGAAAAGCTATGACCCTGAGAAAGCAAGAGAGTACATACGGCAGCAGAAACAAGAGCGGTTAAGCCGTCTGAGAGCTGAACGTGAACAACAACAAGCTGACATGCATGCTAGAAAACAGAAGCTGGATGAACTTAGCAGAACCTCTCTTAAACTTGTGAAAGCTAGTGTCAAACGTAAACTTAGTCAACCTAATAGTAAGCTTACTGAGGATCAATCAGTTGAGCATGAAGAAGATTGCAGTAGTACTAAACCAATGAAGATATTGGCTGATGAAACTTTTGATGCTCATATCAAAGATTGTGATTCACAAACTGAACCTCACAATCCCTCTTCAAATATTATGAATCAGTATTCCATTTCAGACCTTCCCCTTTCCCTAGATGACTCAAATGCTCAGCTCATAAAAGACATTTGTGAGATGAAGTCTAAAATTGAAGCCATGGCCAAGTCTTTGAAGACAACAATTGAAGCCAATCGCATGAACTCTGCAATCAACAACAATGGGAGAAATTGTGGGTCAGGAGAAGATAGTAAATTTAAAAGTGCAGCTGACCACTCTATGGAAAGAAACAATACTAAAGGTGTCAATCTTAACTCTAAAAGACAGGTGGAAATGAACTCCCAATCCCCTTACCTTCAAAGTCTTACATCTAATTTGAGAAAAATGAGAGAATCATTACAGAGTGTGCTGAGTCAAAGTGATGTTAATCCACAAGAACCTTCTTTTAAATCAACGAAAAGTACAACCCATTCAGCTCATCACAGACATAGGCGTATTTTAAACACTGGTTCAGATTCTGCCTTTGAAACAGTACTACAAAACTCTAGTAGCATCAGAGGACCCCCTCTTGATGGTCCACTTTCATGTAATCTTCAAAGAAAAACTATAACAACAAGTTTTCCTACTCTTCCCACTGCTGAATCACAAAGTTTGGCTTTTGACCAAAAATATGACCGCAGGAGAAATTCTGAATCTGGTATGGTTCTTTTCTCTTTACATTTTGTCTAAATATAGTAAGAAATACCTAGCCTGTTTTTTTATCTATCTTAATTGTTTACAGAGTCCTATCCCCGACCCTCCACTCCTAAAGCATTGACTAACTCAACTCTAACGTCAGCTGCACTTAAACCAGCTGATCTTGTGAAAAATGTTGAAAGACATCATAGCAATGGCAATAAGGTTGGTTCTTATGAATGACATGTGCGATTTTTTTATCAAATGAAAATATTCTTAACAACATTTTTTGAATTGTTTTATTTAGGAACAGTGCTCTGACTGGTTTGAACCTCTTACATCAAGGCCCTACCCTATTAACTTTATAACTGCAGTCAAACGCAAGTTAAGTGCCTCTGTTAAGACAGATGACTCTGAAAATCTTCTGTCTCATTTGGATTCAACTCACAATGTCAACTCTCAAGAACTTCATTCTATTCAGAAACCTCTTAACTACCAACCGCTAAAAGTAAACTCCAATCTTCCTCCATTTGTAACCTCAAGGCGCAGTATGGGGCCTACCATTCCATGGTTAGCAGCAACCCATCAAGATGAAGTAGAATCACCTCTGCCTACGACCAACCGTGTCATAGAAGATCAACCTGTACAGAGACAGACTTTAGACAGTCAATCATGTGACAGGATAACAGTTCAGAGGACATCTATTTTAGATGCATTAAATTTGGAAAAGATGCAGGCAGAATTTGCTAGAGCTTTAAACCCCACGGCTATGAATAGCTGTGACATCACACCTGCTGAGAAACCTCTTTCTGCTCCCAATACTCCAGCAAAGACGTCATTAAAATTAGAAAGACCTTCCTCTCTAGGACGAACCGGCAGACTTAATTTTGAACAGAGGCAGAGGCCATTAATTGACAATAAAGTTGGATCTTTTGATAAATTAGCAAATGGTGAGTCTAAACTAAAAGGAACTGCAAATAATGAAGTTAATAGTGAACTTGTCCCACCGGATGTTCACTTGGCTTCCAGCCGATTAGAAAGAAAGCCAGGAAGTATTGATAGCTGGGTGTCCCATTCAAGAGGCAGTGGAGACTTTGCTATTAGTCATCAAGAAAAGAGTGTGTCGTCTGTTCAATCATCATCTTCATCTCGAGACACATTTGATATTGGCCATGTTTTCAATCCAACTGCATTACACCTCCAGTTTCAAGCAGAACTTAATATTCTAGACTCTTTCAACGAATCACTGTGTCAAGTAATGGAAGTTGAGAAAGTTCGTGCTGTTGCCTTGGCACGTCATGAAGCAGTGTCTGAAATTAAGTCTGCAGTAGTTGGCAAGGAAGATAAAGCTATTGATATTCAAACGAGTCTTTTGAAATCAAACTCTGAAATTTCCACAATAAATTATCACAGAGGCTCTAGCAACACTAATGATATTACACTCCTCGATGTTCTCACACCTGACAGCGATGGAAAAATAAACACCTCCACATTGCCTTCCCTTAAAGATGGTCTTGTCTCACCTTGCTCTACCGCGGCTTCAGATATTATTGGGTCATTTTCCAAAGAGAAGATTTCAGACTCTGGTCCGTCTACAGTTACTGTTGATGATAAAAATTCACCTGTTTGTGTCGAATCAGTCAACTCAGGGGACAAAAGTATTTCTGAGGATGTCCTTACCACGTCAGATTCAGTGCCTGAGGTAATGTCTCCAAAACCTGAAGCTGGTCCATCTAGTGACAGTATTCCAAAGGAGGATAAGCCTCAAGATGTTTCAAGTAGTGAAATACAAGATGTATTGAATAGTCCTAAATCTCAAAACCAACAATCTACTACCCCTCAATTTGAGAGGTCTTTTTCTGTCGATCTATCAGTCAACTCCATTAAGGGTGATTCCACTTTCACAGGTATGTTGTTGTTTGTAAGGGTAAGATTGTAGTGTGTATTATTTAATTTCATTTCTGTGTTTTACCATCCAAAATTTCTGTAGGTGATGATGCCCTTATTATTGAGTCCCCTAAAGTTGGTGAGAATCATGTCTTCCCAACCATTGTTTCGGGAGAAGACATGTTCCAGTTTAATTTACAAATGCTGGAACAGCTAATGCATGAAGAAGAACTGAGGGTTCAGCATAGAACAACTTTAATGAAATTAAGAGTGAAAGTTCTTGGTGAAATGGCAAGAACTGAGGTAGCAGCCCTAGATTTGGACAAGAAGAAATTAAGAGAAAAGGGGGAAGATGGTCATAAAGATCAAATGACAGCATTAAGGAAAAAGCAGAGAGGTATTATGCTGAGATACCAGCAACAACGAGAGGACATAGAAAGGTACCAAAATTATTTGTTTTTTTCGTTTAGGTTCTCCAGAAATATTTTTTTAAATTTTTATAAAAATATTCATTTTGTTTTTAAGACTTCGACAGACAGAAGAATTGGCATGGCAGGAAAGACGTCTCATGTATCTCCAACAGATGCACCTAATCCGCATGCAAATTTCTACTCATGTGATGCTTCATAAATTTGAAAAATGTGGGAGCAGTATTTCAAAGGTAGATTCTTTAAATTTAAACCATGCTTAGTTAAATTTGCCTCTTGTGTGTGATTTTTTGTTTGTGTTTGTGGTTTTGTAGAAGAATCGAATGGCAGTCAAAAGTATTCAAGATATTCGAGGTAGCAGAAATACTCATAAAAGCTTACCTCCTGAAGTTACTAGTATTGCTGAGGAACTGCCAGCAGTGAGTTTAGTAGTGACTCAGTCCAGTTCTGTCTCAATGGCGTCACTTGCAAGTGAGGGATCAAAATCATCTGCTGTCAGTAATTCAAGTCGTAAAGCCACAAGTGGCACCGCCTGTGGTCATAGTATTATTGGGACTGAAGTGGGTGATAATATTGGAGGAGCTGCTGGTGATAGTGAATCTTCTCATCTTGAAGAACGAGTTATGGAAGGATTGAATGAGTTACAAAGTCGTTGCAGGTAAGCTTAGATCCTTCCATATATCTATACTTTTAAACCTTTAATCAGAAAGGAAAATTAAGATCTGCTTATCATTACAATTGCTTCCTCTTTTTTCTGTTTTTAAATTTTATTGTAGGAACCTTAAAGAACGTGAAAAGGTGTTGTATGAGAGAAAACAGTCTGTGGAACAAATTATTCAGTGGCGAAGGAAACTTGAAGATGAGGAACGTAGACTTCGTGATGTTGAAAGGCAGACTCATTCTAGGCACCGAAGTACACTAGCAAAACACATGCTTCGTGGTCAGTATTTTTCTTAGACGCCTTACATGTTTTCTACATTTGGTAGTATGTTGCAAAGTATGAAGAAATGCACCTAATACATTTATGTCCTCTAGATCGCAGCACATCTCCATTCCAGTTTTCAGAGAATGGTGTATCTTGTGTCACCGCTAACCCAAGCAATGGAACTGCTGTTAGAGGCATTTTGGATATTTCACGTAATAGCAGAAATATTATCACCGGTGTTGGAGCTAGTGCTAGTGGGAGTGCTAGTGTTACAGAGGATATAGACTCAAGTATACCTGAAGAGCTTGCTGAGCAAACTAGCAAACCAAGGCACGTACCGCTCTTTTTTTCTTAATGTTTATCAAATCTTGTTGATTAATTCCTGTTGGGCTGACCAAACATTTAATTTATGGTAAACAACAACTTTCTTATTACAGCCTTGAATCTACATTAGATGGAACACATGTTGAACAATATGCTAATGAAAGTTTTGAATCAGAGGCATCTGAAATGAAAACTTTAGAATCTCAGTCAATGCCACAAGATGGTTTACAAGCAGTGAACCTTAAAGAACAAATTGTTAAGCCAACTACCATACCAGATTCTGACTATGAAACAAGATTGCCCAAAATGTCTGAACGCACTAATAAGTATCCTGGAGTTACTATAAAAGTCCCCTTGTCTCCTCGGTTGCAAAGAGTGCAACGTAGAAGATATTCTAGTGGATCAGATGACTCTATGGTGTTGTCTCAGACAGGTTTGTAAAAGAAAAAGATTTTCAAATACATAATGCCTGAAGGTTTTATACTATTCTATACTTAGTTGTTTTTAAAATTATTTTTTACTACAGAGACTGGTTCAGAGCAAAGTGACATTGAGGGAAGAATATCAGCACTCTCAGAACAGCTGCACCAATGCAAAGCTGAAGCAGAAAGGCTCAGAAGAGAAGCAAAGAGAACAAGAAATGAACGATTAATTGCTAAAGAGCAATCCCTTCATAAGCAATTACAGGTAAAGTGTTTCTGTATTCTCATCTGATTTGTCTCTTCCTAATCAATTACTTCATAATTTTATCATTAGATTGCCCTAAATTTGTAAAAATCAAATCAGACCAGAATTATGATTGAACTACCTTTTTATAGTCTAACCAAATTTTCAAGAGTGCTGTTGAGCTGTTTGTTTATATTACCTAGGTTGATGAACTGCTTGAGACTTGGTCTGAGGTAGGCTCAGTTGGCACTGTGCCACCTTCTTGTGCCAAGTCTTTGACAGCCTCTGAGTGTGACAATAAACAGGACAGAAATAGATTTCCTTCCTTCCTGTTGTCAGGTCTTTACTGTAGGACTGTGCATCTCAAAGCAGAGCATGTTGGATTTTCAATCTCTGCTTACTACAGTTTTCAGCTTTTCCCATATCTTAAAGTTTTAAAAGATTATTCTTATTTATAGTGTGCAATATGTCTACATGATAACTTCTGCTCAATAGCATAGTGTTTGAAACAAAATTTTAGTGTGGACAAGTGTACAGTGTAAACATACTTCCCCATGTTTTTGATTCCCCTCTCTTTAAAGAGGCTTTAGTTTTTCTCATGCTTGCACAATTTAGCCATGATTATGCACTGCAGTCAAAAGGGAATATGTCCATTCTTCCTTGTAGGTAATGTTCCACTTGTGGGACATATTCGTTTGAGATTTTTGATTCAAGCCCACCTCTTCAATACAGTTTCCTTTTTCTTTTAGGGGGGTCTATGAACATTCTTGTATGTGTCTTTTCTTTTCCAGGCTTATGAGTCCTACATCTCTCAACTGCGACGCAATCTGGAGGCAGAGCTGAAACAATCTAGTGTGCCGATTGTACGGCCACAAATAAAACAACCAAGAGTGTCCCCAGGCAAGGTGGCATCACGACGCCAAGATGCAGAGCTTGCAACTTCTCCCGGAACAGATCTATCAGGTCTCCAAGCAACAAGCCCGGAAACCCCAAGAAAAGACCTTCTTAGAGATGAAATCGACACAGAATCTAGAGACATTGAGGCAGCCAGTGAAGCCATCAGCACTGTGGTCAGCGAAGGAGCTAGTGAAATTACAAGTGAGGCAACAAGTGAAGTGCATAGTGAGGTACCCAGTGAGGTGCCCAGTGAAGTTCAAAGTGAAGTGCCAAGTGACGTGGCCAGTGAAGCAGCTAGTGAGGTATCTGAAAATAGTAGTTTGGTATCCCAAGATGCTCCAAGTCTTGTTGCGATTAAGGATTTTAAAGAAGAATCTCACAATGAAAACACCACACCAAGTAAGGAAGAGGGGATGATAGAAAGTAACAGTAATGATAATGAATCCAACTATGAAAATGTTTCTTTGATGAAATCAGAGGAAACAAACTTGCTACTGACAGAACCATTTGACAAGACTCTAGAGCTAGACAAAGATATGTTGATTCTTTCCCTTCCTGAAACTGTATCCGCCAAGGTTCCTAATCAATTAAACAATTTAGCTATTAATGACAAACTTATTGTTGGTGAATTAAATGATGATAAATGTGATAAACGGAGTATTGAGGGACATGCTAACCAAGAAAATGAAGACATCAGTGAAGGCACAGATGAAGCTCTGACAGACAAAGATGTCACTGCATCGAATGATCAAGTACAAAGCAAAACCAGTGAAGAAGAATTAGAGGATGTCAGTGAAACTCTGGAAGATGATCATGGACATGCAACAGAGAAGGCAGCTCAAACAAATGTGATCCGTGTATTTATGCGGGAAAAAGAAAAAGAAAGTTCCTCTGTAGAAGATGGTGTTCAGTCACTAAGTAATTTTGGAAGAAATCGTGAAGAAATTGTTGACCTAATTACAAATGATTTAATGAAATATCTGTTAGGTGAATGTTTACGCCCACGAGCACCTTCTCATTCACCATCACAAGATGCTGTATTCAACAAAGTTGTAAATACCTCTCTTCATGAAGCAACTTCTGACATAATGAGTATTTATAAGAGAAGAATGATAATTGCCTCTAATCAAACTAAAGATGTCAGACAAAGAGTCAATGAAATATTGGCAGAAACAAGTGCTTCAAGTAAACTGCGAACTGAGGGACGTATCAAGGAAATTATGACAACCACTTATGGAGTCCTCTCGCCAGAAGATTCTCCTTGCTGCTCTCCCAGTCTATGTAAGATGATAATCTTTTGCTAATGAAAGGTCTATCTTGTTTTTAACTAGTTGCTTGAAATATTAATTATTTGTTTCAGCAAACTCACCTGTGCAGAGTCTTACTCTTACATCCCACATAGAAGATTCTGATACAACGTATAATAAAATGGCTGAAAACAGAGCAATGAAAAATGATATAGGAAAGGTAAGTTCTATTTTTAGTTGGTGGGTATACCATAAATTTTCCCTTCTTTAAAGACTTTCTCTTACAAATGTTTTTTAGGCAAGTGAAACTCCAATGGGCTTGATAGGGGAAAATGCTGTTGACAGTGAGGGATTTTCTCAGGAATGGTTTGATGAAGATTTTGGCCTTACCCGTTCAAGAAGGGAAGCAGAAGAGCTACGGCGACAGCAGCTACAAATTGAACAAGAAGTATGTGCAATAATAAGTTACAGATAACTCCATATCATTCTCACTAAAATTCTTACATTCTGTTCTTTGTGTTTTGATTTGTCAGATTGAGCAACTACAACAACAGCAGGCTCAGGTTCAGGAACAGATTCCCTATTATTATGTGCGAGAAATCCCAAATAAACCACCTCCTCCATACACTCCACCTGGTCAAGCACCTCGTGTACTATCATCATCATCTTCCCTAGCATCAGCTGTAGAGGAAGTACGGGCTGTTTGCACTGATCGACCTGTCATACTTAAAGCTATTGCATTGGCTGTGGATATGCTATATGATGCTCATTGCAAAGGAATAGACCTGCAGAGTCAAGAAGCTCCAAGCTCCTTCATTGATGTTGGGTTTAAATTATTACAAACATCCCATCTCTCAGAACAAGTAAGTCTCTGCTGTCAGATCAGATACTAAATGTAAAATGTATTATAGTAGGTGCAAATCTGACATACCGGCACCTGAAGGACTTGGAGATAATCACTTTCTCCGTTGACGTTGTAAGCAATATGGTTACACTCATAAGGGTGGATCCCTGGGCTAGAGCTGTCAAGCCACACAGCCAAGCCATACAAGAGTCGAGCAGCTGTACCACAGGGCCCGGCGAAGGCCTTCACGGATCGTAATGACGCTTACAATAAGATCTGAGGTCCAAAGGTCTGCCGGTGTTTCAGTATTTCGTGAACCAACTATTCTATGTATTCTTACAAAGTGTAATTTTCTTCTGTAGGCTCATTATTTCATAAGTTAAATATTTTTTCCTTTTCAGGAGCTCTCAGTTCATAAGAACAGTGCTAAGGTGTATAGAAAGTTTTTGTTTGACTTAGCCAAAGAGCTGGTGTTAAGTGCATACAGTTCTGAATCTGAAGATCCTAATCCACCTTGGTTGCGCCCTGAGAATTGGGTCCGTCGTAGGAAAGCTCTTACAGTTGTCCCAAAGACAAAAGAAATGTTGCATGAAGTTGTTTCTCGCCAAGTTCTAGTGCTATTTGGGTTTGTCCCAAAGGCAAGCAAAGAGAATCTCACCATTCGCTGGAGTAGGAAAAAGAGAGATCATGTTGACGAATTGTTGGTGCGGGAATCTCAGGAAGAAGAGCGTCAATGGACAAACTATGAGCAAGATGAAGCAGTAGTGAAAAACAATGTGGCCATCGCCATATTGGACTCACTTCTTGATGATACAGTGCAAGTATTGGGTGATGTATTTAGAAGACGAGAACAGAGACAACATTGTGTCGTCTACTAACTTCTAGTTGAAGTCAGCTACAGTTTTAGTTATGTTATCCAGTTATAGGAGGGATATCTATCTATTATTCATCTATTCAAGCTGTGGAAGTATTTATCTCTAATAAACAAGGTATCCACAAAATAATGTCATGTACTATAGTTGATGGATTACCTTCAAAGACCGTACTTTCAACTTGTTTTATTTGGATCCTATATCTGTTTTGAAACACATGCCAGTAAATTGTGAATTAAACTGCAGTGTTAATATTCATATCTACATTAGTATCATGATGTTTGTAGAGGTTTTACTGCCATATCATCATACAAATTCTACAGATCTGTACTTAAATGAAAGTACAAAAGTACAAAATGCTTCTTTTATTTAGGACATAAAAGGAGAAGTTTATTTGTGCATCATTATTTATGCACCAGATTAACTCGTCTTTTTGGTTTGATTAAGATTACTCTGTCACTTCTGTATAATCTCTTTGATTGCCTTTCCAAATGAAACAAGGAAAATTCAAGACCAAATGATGTTATACATTGTTCTCTCTCTTCTTATTAGAAGATTCTTTTCTAAAATAAGTCTGTGATCACATAGGAGGCTGATAATGACATCTGAAACATTTGATTCTTTTTTAAATCGGAAATCAGATAGTTTTGTAGAAAAAATGATCTTTTCCTCTTGCTGGCTGATCAGCTTTTACAACATTTTTAACGAATGTAAATAAGAAAGTTGTCATTTGAGAACTTCCCATAATCAATTCTTAAGAAAGCTCATTTGCAGGAGATGAATTGTAATTGTAAATATTTTTGAAATGTCTCTTCCTAAATTCCCAATTATTTATTCAATGTTTGTACAGGTTTGTTCCATTATACACATGTTCTGTAAATTACATTCAGGTAACCTGCCCAAGTAAAGAAAACAGGATAAATTTAATCTTGTTTCTACATATTAATGTTTAGAACTGATTGTAGTGAGCTGTCACCTCTCTAAAGTAGCCCATTTATTTGATAAAACATCAATGAACAATTTAAATTTGTATTCAGAACTCCTAAAGCAGTGGGTGTGTTTGCAATGGGATTTTTTTTTTCACAAATGACTGTTTCTTGCTGAAACTTGAGTGTATCTTCACTCAGGATATAACACTTTTATGATTCCGTTTATGGCTGCATGCTGTTATTTTTTGGAAAATCTTGACTTTTCTCTTCTCATGACCAGTTCTCCTATTTTGTTACCTGCTCAATCCTCATTTTGAGGCAACGTAGTACCTAGGTATCTTTTATATTTTACATCTACTAATAAAACCCATGATGGGTGTATTGCTCATGTCACTTACAGTAAGGTTTAAAGTCTTTTGAGGTTCAGTGCCATAAAGTGTTCAGTAGTCAAAAGATAAAAATATTTCATGATGTGTATATTTAGACAGAAATGCATTGTGATACTTCTCTCTGGCTACTTTAAGTTTGAAGTAGTTCTCTGAAAAATCTTATCTGATCAATGTCCACTTTATGAACTCCCCTGCTGTACAACAGTGAACAGAATTCACAATAGTCAAAAGTATTAGATAAGATATTTTACTTTGTTACTGCGCTTCTACAGAAATGTTGCCTTTTACTCAGTGCCTATGTAAAATATTGACTGACTGTATTTATATTTGTGTCCTGTGCTATAAAATTTGTGTTGTATTTCTGTTTGATGTAAATTCTCGATCATGCATTAAAAATTTGACACAACAACAGAAAACCTTCTGATTGTCCGAAGCTCGTTTGTCCGAACCTAATTTATCTATTTTAGTAAATAATATGAGTAAAGTAGTTA